TAGGCTTTGTTGGGGTTTGGGGTTTTCGGGGTTTTGGGTTGTTTGGGGTTTAGGGGTGTTGGGGATTTAGGGTTGTGGGTTGGGTTCGGCCGGTCCACACTAACAGTCAAATAATGCCGTGGCCTTATAACACGCAGGCCAAAAATAGCACAAGGAACCCCAGTGAATTTTAGCATTTACCGGGTGCTGCTTTTTGTGGGTCTGCTGGTGGTGACTGCTAGTCACATAGCACCAGAAACAGCACCAGAAGTAGCACCAGAAACACCACCAGAAATAGCACCAGAAAAAGCATCAGAAACAGCACCAGAAACAGCACCAGGAATAGCACCAGGAATAGCACCAGGAATCCCAGTCAAGTTTAGCAGCTTAGCATTTACCGGGTGCTATATCTTGTGGGTCTGCTGATGGTGACTGCCAGTCACATAGCACCAGAAACAGCACCAGAGACAGCACCAGAAACAGCACCAGAAATAGCCCAGAAACAGCACCAGAAACAGCACCAGAAACAGCACCAGAAAAAGCACCAGAAATAGCACCAGGAATAGCACCAGGAATAGCACCAGGAATAGCACCAGGAATAGCACCAGGAATAGCACCAGGAATCCCAGTCAATTTTTGGCATTTACCGGGTGCTTTTTGTGGGTCTGCTGGTGGTGACTGTTAGTGTGGACCGGCCGCACCCAAGTTGTGGGGGTTCAGGGTCTAGTGTTGTTGGGGTGCGGGATTCAGTGTGACTTAAAGTAGTTGGGGTTTGGCATCGGCATAGTGTTGTTGGGGTTTGGGGTTCAGGGTTGTGGGTTTTTGGCATTTAAGGTTTAGGGCGTTGAGATCATGGTAGGTGGAGCGGGGAGGGGGTGAACCCTAGACCCTGCGTAAGGGTCTGAGAGGGCGCCCTGAGCTTCAAACTCGAGCATGCATCGGCACTTGCATGGGCGTCCCTGGCTCTTTTGTCCGTCAACATCGGCCACGACCCTAAAGCCTAAACCCTAAACCCTAAACCCTAAACCCGATTGTTTGTCAAGGATAGGCCTGCCCCCCAAAAAGACGTCCGTTGTCCAGTGGTTCTGTTGCGTCCATGACCTAACGTCCAGACAAAGTTTGAACAGTCCGGCCTGGCCAAACGAGATATCCTGCAGGGTTAGGGTCTAGGGTGGTTCGGGGGGTTTAGGTTTAGGGCTTAGGTCTTGGACAACATGGGTTTAGGGTTTAGGGTTTCCCAGTTGACATCTCCAGTTCGGATTTAGAGTTTCGAGTCCAGGGTTAGGGCTTGCCTCTAGGAAAAAAGCACACCCCGCCTCTCAACCGTGTATCCCTAAGCCCTAAACCCTCAATCCTAAACCCTAAACCCTAAACCCTAAACCCTAAACCCTAAACTCTTTACCCCAAACCCTATACCTTAAAACCTTATACACCGAACCCAAAATTCTAAACCTTATACCCTGAACCCCAAACCCTATGTCAAGACTCAAGGCCCAGCATGGGTTTAGGGTTTAGGGTTTAGGGTTTAGGGTTTAGGGTTTAGGGTTTAGGGTTTAGGGTTTAGGGTTTAGGGTTTAGGGTTTAGGGTTTAGGGTTTAGGGTTTAGGGTTTGGGGTTTAGGGTTTAGGGTTTAGGGTTTGCGGCCAAGGGTTTCGGGTTCAGGGCTCAGGGTTCAGGGTCCAGGCTTACCAATCAAAACCATGATGCTTTTTGCACTATTGGGTTCGTAAGACAGAGTTGGAGGATTTAGGGATCAGGGTGGGAGCTTCAGGGCTTTTCTCAGAGGTTTAGGAGTCTTCGGGCCTTACCGGTGTGGAAATGACCCTAAACCCGAAAGCCAAGCTCCTAAAGCCCCACACCCCCACCCTTCAACCCCAATCCCTAAACGCAAACCAACAAAAAGAGCTAAGTATCGGAGACTCTTAGGGCATCGGGGCCACCAGCTCATGATCCTTAGCCTAAAACCAAAAACCTTTAGAGTTTGGAGAACAAGCCCGTGGTTCATCTTCGGTGGCCCCAAACCCTAAACCCTAAACCCTAAACCCTAAACCCTAAACCCTAAACCCTAAACCCTAAACCCTCCTACACAGCACCGCAAAAGTAGGGCTTAAGCGCAAGCTGAAGCGGCGCCGTGCGTGCACGTTCCCGTCTTCCAGGATGCCGAAGTTAGATTCGAAGGCCACCATGAGGTCGGCCATTTCTTAGATGTTGGACCATTTGGGGCTAGGGCTTTTTTAAGCCCTAAACCCCCAAACCTTAAACCGAAACCCCGTTCGGGGTGTAAGGTTGCGGTTTTAAGGTTTTGGGGGGGGGCACAGTCTTGGGGTTCGGGGTAGTTTGGAGTTTAAGGTCAGAGCTTTAGAGTCTGGGGTGTAGGGTTTTGGGGGCTTGGGGTAGTTTGGGGCTTAGGGCTAGGGTTTTAGGGTTGGGGGTGTAGGGTCAACGGGCGGTTTAGGGTTGGGGCTTAGGGCAGTTCTTTCCTAAACCCGAAACCCTAAAGCCTAACCCCTAAACCCTAAACCCTAAACCCTAAACCCAAAACCCGAACCCTGGGCCCTAAACCCTAAACCCTAAACCCTAAAGCCTCAAGCCTCAAGCCTCAAGCCCAAAGCCTAGACCCTGTTTCTGCAAGAAAAGGGGCTGCCGCGGAGGGCGTCATAGCCCCCGAGTGCGATGAGGACCTCATCTCTCAAGCGGAGAGCTATACCCTCAACCCCAAACCCTGAAACCCTAAACCCGAACCCTGGGCCCTAAACCCTGAAACCTAAATCCTAAACCCTTAACCCTCAACCCGAAACCCCATCCCAAAAAAAACCTGAACCCGAAACACGAAACCCTAAACCCGAAACCCCAAACCCGAAACCCTAAACCCTAAACCCGAACCCTAAACCCTAAACCCTAAACCCTAACACCCTACACCCTACACCCTAAACCCTAAACCCTAAACCCTAAACCCTAAACCCTAAACCCGCGGCATCGGTCCGAGGGATCCTCAGGGGGCAACTGAGGGGTTCAAAGACTTCGGGAAACCTGGAACCTTCTACTACTAATTGTTAGGGTTTAGGGTTTAGGGTTTAGGGTTTAGGGTTTAGGGTTTAGGGTTTAGGGTTTAGGGTTTAGGGTTTAGGGTTTAGGGTTTAGGGTTTAGGGTTTCGGGTTTCGGGTTTAGGGTTTAACCCCCCAAAAAAACACACAAATATTCTTCCTTATTGAGGGTAATCTAGGGATTATTATGTGTAATGTTTTGGGGGGATTCTTAAGCAAATAGTAGTCTACAAGCCCAAAACAGGCGGGCAGGGTTTAGGGTTTAGGGTTAGGGTCAGGGGTTTTGGGGTGAAGGGTTGTTAGGGCTTCTAGAGTACAGGGTTTAGGGTGTTAGGGTGTTAGGGTGTTAGGGTGTTAGGGTTTAGGGTAACTTAGGCTAAAGCTGAAAATGTCAGAGGCGTTCCAGAAGAAAACGCTTCCGGCAATTTCGGGTTCCGGCCTCGGGGTCTATTTTGGGTGTAGGGCTTCGGGTTTAGGGTGTAGGGTTTGGGGTTTAGGGTCTAGGGTCTAGGAGTTTAGGGTTTAGGGTTTAGAGGGCTTCGGGCTTAGAGCTTCGGGCTTAGAGTGATACTTCTTTGGCCAGGTGGCACAATCCCGCTGCATGTGCTGCAGCAAGCTCCTTGAGCGCGGACGTGGCTACTTTACCCTATACCCTAAAGCCCCCACCCCTCAACTCTAAAGCTTTCGCATTTAGGGTCCAGAAGACATCTGTGCACCTACTTTACCCTAAACCCTAAACCCTAAACCCTAAACCCTAACCCTAAACCCTAAACCCTAAACCCTAAACCCAGCGCCTTCTTTCGCCTTCAGAGCCTGGGCTATCGGGGCGCCTGAGGTTGGGCATGGACAAAAAGTCCGAGGGTAGCAGTAACAGTAGAAAATTGGTAGTCGACGGACCGGGGGACGTAGGAAGGGATTTAGGGTTTAGGGTTTAGGGTTTAGGGTTTAGGGTTTAGGGTTTAGGGTTTAGGGTTCAGGGTTTAATGGTTTAGGGTTTAGGGTTTAGGGTTTAATAGTTAGGGTTTGGGGTTTGGGGTTTGGGGTTTGGGGTTTGGGGTTTGGGGTTTGGGGTTTGGGGTTTGGGGTTTGGGGTTTGGGGTTTGGGGTTTGGGGTTTGGGGTTTAAGCATCTCTACAAACAATGAACCCCAAAACCACGTCTCTGGAGCTTCCAAGCGTCAGCTGCTGACTGGCAAGCTGGATTTTCGCACCTCGTTCAAGTCAAGCCGCCGCGAATGACACCAAAACGCGCAGCATACATGTGTATATGTATATATATATATATGCATAAAAAAGGGGTTTGTAATGAATGCGCAAAATAGAAATATACCGAATATAAACAAATAAATAGAAACTAACATAAATATAAGAATACTTATACAAATAAATAAAAGTATTAAAATATTTATACATGCAAATAAAAATAAGAATATAAATGTACATGTAAGTAGACAGTAAATATGAACAATAAATACAAATATAAATATAAATAAAATAAAAAATATCAAAAGTCAAATATCGAATATCAAATATCGAATATCAAATATCGAATATAAATAAATACGTGAATATGTATATATATATATAATAGTTATATACGTATACATATACATATACATATACATAGAACTATAAATGTATAAGTGTAAATATGAACATATATAAATAGATATAGTACACACATGTAATAACATACACATGCAGAGACAACAAGAAACAAACAGTTCCCAAACACCACGGCCCCGAAGGCATTTGTTAACGCAGCAGTGAAGGATGAGACATGAGGGCGCAGACCGACGATGATGGTTTTAGGGTTTAGGGTTTAGGGTTGAGGGTTTAGTTTAGGCTGCTGGGTTTTCAGGGGGTGTTCAGCCCAAAAAAAACGTGGTATCTTCTTTGCCTGTCTTTGGCAGACCAATATTCCGGGTACAAATGTTGGGTGATTACGAGCCGAAGATGGGACACTTTTGAACTAGGGCTTAGGGTTAGGGCAGCCTCATCTATGCTTCTACCCTTTCAAGGAATGCCCAGCCTAGGGTGGGGCTCGTGCTTTGCCCATGCTTTGGGTGCTTCCAATCTACCTCGGGGACCAAAGAAATTGGGGTCATTTTCCCCCATACGAGGATAATCCCCATTAAGGTATATGAACCATGAACGCTTTTAGGGCTCGTTTGGTCCCCAAAGGTAGGGGTCAGAGTGGTCCAGCCAGGACGTGGGTGGTGATAACGTGTGAACTCAGGCGGGGATTGCAAGGATCAGCGCTACTTCTAGGATTTAGCGTTTGGGGTTTTAGGATTTTAGGGTTTAGGGTTTAGGGTTTAAGGGGCCTAGAACGTATATAATTACCCGAACGCTGCGAACACTTCACGCCTAAATCGGAACTAGGACTGCCTTGAAACCTCCAACCTAAACTCCTTTATACAGGTTGCCTGGCGATGCAAGAAAACATTCTTGTTTAGAATGGTTTCGTTTTGTTTGCATGGTTAAGAAGGGATTGCAAAAAAAAAAGAAAGGGAAAACGGCAGTATTGGGCATCCCGGTAAGCCCGTTTGGCCGTGCCGCCATAGATGGATGGCTGCTGCCTATACCTCGGCACTGCGTTGGGCGAGGGAGGCTCGTTGAACGGAAAGTTTAGGGTTTAGGGTTTAGGCTTTAGGGTTTAGGGTTTAGGGTTTAGGGTTTAGGGTTCAGGCTTTAAGTGCGGTCTAGGCTTTAGGGTTTACGCTTTAATTATAAGGTATGGACTGTGCTGAAGATGAAGGAAAGAAGCAAACGCCAAAGCTTCACCAAAGACCTGAAACCCCAAACCCTAAACTACCCCAAACCCTATCCCTGAACCCTAAACCCTAAACCCTAAACCCTAAACCCTAAACCCTAAACCCTAAAACCCTAAACCCTAAACCCTAACCCCTAAACCCTAAACCCTAAACCCTAAACCCTAAACCCTAAACCCTAAACCCTAAACCCTAAACCCTAAACCCCAAACCCCAAACCTTAAGCTGGACACCCTACACCCTAAACCTGAAACCCGAAGGCCTAAACTTAAACCCTAAACCCTGAACCCCTAAACGTTGGGGGGGTAGTGCTATCCTAAACCCTAAACCCTAAACCCTAAACCCTAAACCCTAAACCCTAAATCGAGCTTAGTGCTATCTTGTAGCTTGGGAGCGGTATTCTAGACTCTAGACCTGAAAGGCGCGTTGGCAGCATGGACTCCATATTTAGCCCCTAAACCCTAAACCCTAAACCCTAAACCCTAAACAACCCAAACCCTAAACCCAAAACAGAGCTTGTCCACAAAACAAAAAAACAAGAACAGACTCGAAACCCTAAGGTTGTGCTCTGCAGATGTTTTCACAATTCGAAGCCAATATAGATCGGCCACGTCTTTGGAGGTCAGAGCTTCGTAAACCCTGAAGACCAACAGGCTAGGGGTTATGAGGGTCTTGAGGGTCTAGGGTTTAGTTTTGTAGTTGGGGTTATCGGGTTTTGGGTTTGGGGTTTAGGGAGGGCCAGGGGGAAAGAGCGCAAAGTGCGAACCAAGTCACGAGATGTCAAGCACGGCCTGCGGCCGCTACGCAAGATCTTAGGGTTTAGCCAAGGTTTAGGCTTTAGGGTTCAGGATTTAGGGTTCAGGGTTTAGGGTTTACGGGCTTTCTGGGTTTTCGTCGTAGGAGGCTGCGGGGGGCTCACGTCAAGCCTCGGGAAGCCCTAAACCCTAAACCCTAAATCCTAAACCCTAAACCCCCATGGCACCTCATTGAGCTCCTTCGACTCCTCCATGAAGCCAGCGGAGCTATCCAGGAAGATGGCCAAAGTCTGTTGCGGGGGGGGGGGGGGGGCTTCGGATTCAGGGTTTAGGGTTTAGGGTTTAGGGTTTAGGGTTTAGGGTTTAGGGTTTCGGGTTTCGGGTTTCGGGCTTAGGGTTCCCAGAATCCACCTGGGTTTATTGAAATCATGCGGCCCAAAAAAAGACTCCTTGCCCCCGGTAGGGCTTAGGATTTGTTTATGACCGGGCGACACAACCTGCACTCTTCGGTGAGTTCGCTGAGTGTTGGGTAATTTGGGGTTTATGGTTTCGGGTTTAGGGGGTTCTGTAACCCAAAGAGAAGGGGTGGAATCACAGTAAGAACTCGCAAGGGAACCTTGAAACCCTAATCGCTCAAAAACCTCCAGCACAGACGTCCTGTTGTCCAACCCCTAAACCCTAAACCCTAAACCCTACAGTAAACCTTGAACCCTAAACCCTAAACCCTAAACCCTAAAGTACGGCTCGCCTACTCCTCTTGCTTTAGGGTTTGCGGTTTATAAGGCTTACTACGCGCGCCCGAAGCCCCGAACCCTAAACCCCAAATACCCTATACCCTAAACCCTAAACCCTAAACCCTAAACCCTAAACCCTAAACCCCAAACCCTACGCATCATGCAGGAGTGGGTTGTGGCTTGAGAGTCAATGCCAAAAAGCCTGCTGATTGGGGTTGTCAGCAGCCAGTTGCGGGCTCAACCTCACAGCTTCGCAACAAGGGTTTAGGGTTTAGGGTTGAGGGTTTAGGGGGTTTAGGGTTTAGGGTTTAGGGTTTAGGGTTTAAGAGTTTAGGGTTTAGGGTTTAGGGTTTAGGGTTTAGGGTTTGGGGTTTGGGGTTTGGGGTTTAGGGTTCGGGTTTAGAGTTTAAGGTTTGGGGTTTAGGGCTCAGTTTTGAGGACCACCCGCGTCGCTACCAAGAGTACAAGACCAAAATATGGCGTAATTCGGGCTAATTTGCTAGGTTCTAGGTTAAGGAAGCTTTTAAAACTATCTGGTAATTGGAGTTGGTTGGGCTGCTTTGGGCAAAACCCTGGATTAAGCTTGTTTCGGGTATGGGTTAGCTGGGTGCTGGGGTGGAGGGGGACGGGGGGTGGGGGTAGGATGAGGACATCGAGCCTGACTACTCCAACCATGACTGGGCAGGACCAGAAGCCACCAGCCAAGGAAGTCCCAGTGGATGATTTAGGGTTTAGGGTTTAGGGTTTAGGGTTTAGGGTTTAGGGTTTAGGGTTTAGGGTTTAGGGTTTAGGGTTTGCTGAGTTCAGTGACTAGTCCGGCTGTAACCTCAAACAGGAGTCCTTGGATGTCAATATCGAAGAACTATGAAAAATGTTGGACATGAAAAACATTTTTATTGATATTGGAGCAGGCTCCAAATTATTACCTAATTCAACATCATCAATATCGAAGGATGAGAAAGAGTTGTATTAAAGGTTGATCAGAGAGATAGGTGAGCTCAAAGTGAGTAGACCGCTCTTTGAGCAACAGTTCGTTCGACAATTGATGCTAGTTACGACGTATTTGAAAGGATTAGACTTAGTTGCTGAGTTCATAGGGCCCCCCAAACGTGTACACTGTCAGTTCTGTAGGTGATTCTACTATCCCAAAAGGTGTAAAGTGTACTCACTCAGCTACCAAAAGTATTACAAACCCCACACCCTATACCCTAATCCCTAAACCCTAAACCCTAAACCCTAAACCATCCACTGGGACTTCCTTGGCTGGTGGCTTCGTGCTTTAGTTGTAGAAATGCTGCGATTGATAAGGTTGGGGTTCGACAAGGCTTGCTTGCGGGCTGAGGTAGGGGTTCTGGCTTCGAGTTAGAGCCTCAGAGCTTTGCCGGTTTAGGGTTTAGGGTTTAGGGTTTAGGGTTTAGGGTTTAGGGTTTAGGGTTTAGGGTTTAGGGTTTAGGGTTTAGGGTTTAGGGTTTAGGGTTTAGGGTTTAGGGTTTAGGGTTTAGGGTTTAGGGTTTAGGGTTTATGGGTTTAGGGTTTAGGGTTTAGGGTTTAGGGTTTAGGGTTTAGGGTTTAGGGTTTAGGGTTTAGGGTTTAGGGTTTAGGGTTTAGGGTTTAGCGTCAGGGAAAAGCCCCATCGGTTCGAGGATCTGAGCAAGCGAGTCGAACCTTGCGGTTTCAGACCTGACAGCCCTAACACATGGGTGGCTGTCAAAGTTATGCTCCCTTTTGGGGTCCCCAAAATGTTAGGTGCCGCATAGGGAACCAAAAAAAAGGACCATAATTTTGCCAACCACCCCATATGAACCCTGCAACCGAAAAAATCGCAAGAGCCTACCTAGCAATTCACTGGCCGCCGTCCCCCCTTCACCCCCCCCCCCCCCCCAAACCCTAAACACCAAACCTGAATATAATATGCTTGGTCAGCAGCCCTACGCATGCAGACCAACAACAGGCACATCCGACCCCCCCTCGCCCCTGGCAACGAACACTGCACTCGGCTGAGGGTGATGCAAGTTCCATCGGTCGCTGGCGTTGAAGAGCCTCATTCGGTTTGGAGTTTATGGCTTGGTCGCCCAGCAACCATATTGTAATAAGAGCACCCTTGTTTGGGGTTGGTTTCTTCACAAGGGAACCAGTTTAGGCTTGGTAAGCCCAGCAGCCCTTTACAATAAGGGCACCTTGTTTTTCGGTTGGTTTCCTCACAAGGGAACCTTGAACCCAAAAAAAGAGGGAAAAGGGTACCACTGGGTTGCGTTGGGTCTCGCTCGATGTTGGGAGGATTTGGGGTGAGCGGCGGCCTCACCTTCTAAGCCAGAAAGCTGCGTCTTCTGTACCCCAAAAAGGGAACCTACTGTACTTGGGGTTATCCTACTGTCCTACTGCTTGCTTACGAAGTCCACAGATCCTCCAAGTAGGTTTCCAGGTGTTCTGGGAGGGGGGGGGGATTTGTGGCTCTTATGCTTCGGGCACGGGAGGTTGAAACAACTCCTGGCAGATGTTACTACCTCCACGCCTGACCTTGAGCCACCGCACCTGAACACTGAGACACAAACCCACAGGCTCAACTCTTTGCAAAGAGCCCCGAACCAAAAGCATCTGAACCATGAGCCCCACACCCCCAAAACCCGAAAGCCCCGAAAGCCCGCAAAGCCCCTAAATCATATGGACGATCTAGGGCTTAGGGTTTAGGGCTTATAAGGCTTATGAAGCACTAAAGCCCTAGACCATCCTGCTCCGGGAGGCCCCTCAAAGCCCCAAGCACCTTAAGCCTCAAACCACAGGCATCCCTGTATCCTGGAGCTATGCGGGCCCAGCTCAGGTCGAGGGTTTGGGGCTCAGGCTTTAGGGCCTCTTTAGGGTTTAGGGTTTAGGGTTTAGGATTCAGGGTTTAGGGTTTAGGGTTTAGGGCTCAGGCTTTAGGGTTCGGGGCCCCCACCCAAATAAACTTCTGAGGTTCCGTGCTTAGGGTTTTTGGGTACCCAAGCCGTGAACCCGCCCGACAAACCACGAACCTAAACCCGAAAGCCTCAACACCCAGCCAAGCGCCTGGAACCACTGACCTTCAAGCCCTAACCCTAAAACGTTAACTCGAAAATGAAGCCCCCCAAACCCTAAACTCGAAACCCCGGCGTTCGGGTTTAGAGTTTGCCCTGGCCCTACGCTCTCAACACCCCAAAGCTACTGGCTCTTAGTAGGAAATGAGGGGCATACAAGAGGCACCTGATTCCACCCCAAGAACCAGAGGTAGGTAAAAACCCTCAAGCTGAAGCCTCAAACCCTAAACCCCCCCCAAACCCTAAACCCTAAACCCTAAACCCTATGTCGGGCCAAGGAACTTCCAGGATATCTGCCTAAGAACACCGATGCTGCAAAAGAGACCAAAGCTCGGTTGAAGGTTTAGGGTTTAGGGTTTAGGGTTTAGGGTTTAGGGTTTAGGGCTTAGGGCATGATCCCCTAAACCCGAAACAAAGAACCTCAACAAAAAGGTGGGTTTCGGTCGGCTTGCGGCCGACACTGTTCGGGGTTTAGGGTTTAGATCCCGGGGGTCTTGACTTTCAGGCGGTTTGTCGCTTTTTTGTCTTCTGCGGATCTGAACCCAAAACCCGAAACCCCAAAACTTGAACCCTGAACCCTAAACCCTAAACCCTAGGATCCAACAGCGGGGCAATCTTACTTGGATCCAGGGACTGATAGTAGGTACTTTGTAGGGCCACGAAAACCTGAACCCCTAGACCCACCTAAGCCCCAAACCACCCCCCCCCCCCCCCCGCCCTAGACCTAAAACCTTAAATCGACTAGTTGCTGAAGAACCCCGCCAAAAACTAAAGAACTATATTGACCTTATTAGGCAGAACATTTCTTGGGGTGTTCTTAAATATGGGGATGTTCCCCCCTGATACTAACAGTCCTTCAAAGTACTCCCTATTGCAATCACTATTGAGGGTTAGTTTAAGGTGGAATCGTGGAACCAGTATTGAGGGGTTAAGGCGGTTTGGGGTTTAGGGTTTAGGGTTTAGGGTTTAGGAAATAGGGTTTAGGGTTTAGGGATTTGGGTTTAGGGTTTAGGGCTTAGGGCCCCTGATCTCAGAGCTGCGGCGATTGAAGGCCTAAAGCCCGGCAGTACCCTAAAACCCTGATACCCTACTGTAAACTCCGAAAGCCCTGGACCATCCTTCACCCTGAAACCCCAAAACCCTTGAACCCTAAACCCGAAACCCTAAACCCTGAACCCTGAACCCTAAACCCTAAACCCTAAACCCTAAACCCTAAACCCTAAACCTCTCCAGTGCCCAGGACTTAGGGTTTGCTGAGGGCTGGGGTGTAGGGCTTTCGGGAAGTTGAGAGGAGTTGAGGCCTCGGAAAAGGGTTTAGGGTTTAGGGTTTAGGGTGGTTTGGGGTTTAGGGTTTAGGGTACAGGGTTTCGGGTTTCGGGTTTCGGGTTTCGGGTTTCGGGTTTAGGGTACAGGGTTTAGGGTTTAGGGTTTCGGGTTGAGGCCTCGGAAATGCAGGCGAGCGGCTGCGTGCTGGGCGGCTGAATCTGCTCTGACGGGGCGCCGTACTTGAACCTATGCTCTTCCGTCCGAGAGCTCTCAACCCTGAAGTTTAGGGCTTAGGGTTTAGGGTTTAGGGTTTAGGGCCTTACACCCCTGGGACCCTCTGTACCTACAGCTCTGTAGGTAAAAATAGAGTCCCAGGTCATTCCCTGAAAGCCCTAGACCCTCAATCCTAAACCCTAAACCCTGAAACCCTAACCCTAAACCCTAAACCCTAAACCCTAAACCAAAGGTCCTAAGCCCTACTATACGGTACCAGCAGCACTGAGATCGGAAGGGAAGCTTCGAAGGCCCATAACCGGAAGAGCCTTCAGCTTAGGGCGGTTTGATGTTAAAAGCCCAAACCCTAAACCCTAAACTCTGAGCTCTTTGGGGGTTTAGGGTTTAGGGCTAGGGTTTAGGGTTTAGGGTTGAGGGTTTAGGCTTTATGCGGCTCCAGGGAGCTTGATGAAGAGGTCGTTCATCTCCATCAGCGTGTCGTGGAGCTTTGCAGTGGAGTTACCTGGCTTGCGGGGTCTTACGAAGCCGCAACGCCAGATTCATCCCCAAGGTCGTTTACAGCTACGGGCTCAGGCCATTTAGGGTTTAGGGTTTAGGGTTTGGGGTTTAGGGGTTTGGGGCTTAGGGTTTAGGGCTCAGGGTTTGGGGGCTTTGGTACCGTGAGGCCTCGGGCAAAAAATTGAACCAAAGCATAGCCCGTGAAGTCCTCCCTGCAAGACAGCAGGCGACCACCCCTCCGACAATCTTGGGGCTTGGTGGTGCACTGCACCCAGGAGTAACCAAGTCTTATCAGGGAACCTCAGCCGTAACCCAAAACCCTAAACCCAAAGCGCAAAACCCTAAACCCGACAAAACGGGCGTACGAAAAGGGGGGAATAAGGGCCTACTCTGTATCCTGGTCCAGCGGCTGTAGCGGAGCAGATGTTGGTCTTTTCAAAGCTTGGGCCTGAAACCTCTTGGCAACGCTCACCGCGTTGCTGATTTGCCAGGCTGGAGGCTGGTTTAGGGTTTAGGGTTTAGGGTTTAGGGTTTAGGGTTTAGGGTTTAGGGTTTAGGGTTTAGGGTTTAAGGTTTAGGGTTTAGGGTTTAGGGTTTAGGGATTAGGGTTTAGTCATTTGCAATATGATGATGCTGAGCAGATTTTGGCGCCGGTCAGCCAATCGGTGCCAGCTTCATAACATAGCTGAGACAAAGAGAACCTCTATACTCTGGTGGACTTAGGGTTGAGGGTTGAGGGTTGAGGGTTTAGGGTTGAGGGTTTAGGGTCTAGAAGACCTCTATACTCTAACCCGTAGACCCGAACTCCAGCCCAAATGCATGCAGCCCCTCTTGAACCCTACTCGGATAGTAAGCAGTTGCCAAAACCCTACGAGGCCCCTCTCTAGGGCACTTGCAACTCTACTATGTGCCTACTTACTAACCCTAAACCCTAAACCCTAAACCCTAAACCCCAAACAAAAACCCTAAACCCTAAAGCCTAAACCCTAAGCGCCCTCCACGAATGAAGTCCCAGATCTGCAAGTAGAGCCCTCAAGCCCCCAAAGCCCTAAGAAAGGTCCGACTCCTTCGACCCAGAACTTAACAGAGCCCTAAACCCAGGGATGCAAATCCTGTGTAAGATTTGCATCCCTGAGTTTAGGGTTTAGCTTGATTCAAGAAGTGCGTTCGATCGAACTCTATCATGGAGCTACCACCCCTAAACCCTAAACCCCTTACATCACCGAGTGGCGCGGGGTGAACTCCGGGGGCAGCTGTGTGCAAAAGACCCCGATGAGCTCGCCGAACCGCCTCCCGTAGCACGCAAGTTGTGGGGCTCTCGGGGTTTGGTGGGGAAGCCCTAGATCTAAACCCTAAACCCTAAACCCTAGCCCTAAAACCCTAAATCGGGGCAGTCTGGGGCTCAGGGAGCTTCAGGGTTCCTAGGATTCAAGGGGGGGGTTTAGGGTTTAGGGGTTTAGGGTTTAGGGTTTAGGGTAGAATCCCATTAAACGCGACATTTGGTCCCCAAAACCCCACCCAACATGAGAGTGTTGGGCGATGGGTCCATGAACCCCTAGGCCCAGTGATGTTGGGAACTTCGCTTCCTAAACTCCGAGCCCTAGACCTCAAGTCCTCAAGTGCTAAACCCTAAGGGGTTTAGGGCTTAGGCCCTGAACCTTGTCCAAAACCCTGGCGCCGTCGTGGTCGTTTGCCGTGCAAACGAGTGTCTTTTTGGGTTTTGTTCATTGGGTTGAGGGTGCAAAAGGGGCTTGTCGGTGCGAGTCCAGTAGCAAAAACACTGCTATTTTTGATACTTGAGGCCTTTGGACGAGTCTATGTCTTGGTTGGCAACACAGACATGTAACATGCAAGCAGGATCACAATCGGCACGAAAACAAGCGAAAAAAGCGATGAAAGGGTGTCGATTTTTGTCGCTACGCTTTACGCGCTCGACGCGGTGCGTCAGGGGCACATCTTGTGCCAAGCGGCCTTCTCGGATGCCTTGATACGCACTGTACCGCTGCGTGTTGCTTTGAGCAAGCGACGCCTGGAAGTCTCACCACTCGCAAAACGGAAAAAGCGTCTCGGGCACCTTGCTTCGGGGTTGACAGGCGTGAACTCCCCAGTGGATCCTCGAGCTGTGGCCTGCGTGAGGTTCAAGTCCTTGCATGCTCCAAGAACACCACGCCCAGAGTCGGAGCCCACCAAGTGCTTCCAGGGAGAAACTGACACAGCAACCGTTCCCCAAGTACCCCAAGCCGCGAAACCTTCCCGAAACCGAGAAGAAGCCACCCCCTCCCCCACGCAACCTTCCTCCAAACTGAGAAGAAACTGACACAGCAACCGTTCCCCAAGTACCCTAAACCGCAGGAAACCTTCCTCGAAACCGAGAAGGACACAGCAACCGTTCCCCAAATACCCACAAGGCATCTTATTAACCCCCGCCCTCCCCCCTCCCCCCCTTCCCCCCCTCCCTTGCTACCAAAGCCTCCCTAGAACCGAGCAAGCCCTGAACCCATGCTGCGCGGCAAACGACCATCATGGGGAAAATCCGAAACCCATCACCCTAGACCCTACAGACCCTGAGCCCGAAACCCTAAACCCTAAACCCTAAACCCTAAACCCTAGCCCTAAACCCTGAACCCTAAACCCCCGGCCGGATGCCAGTGGAGAGGAAGCTGGCCAGCGCGCCATAGCTCGGACCATAGGGCTTCCAGTCGATCCTCAACGTGGGACTTGGGGGGTTTAGTGTTTAGGGTTTAGGGTTTAGGGTTTAGGGTTTAGGGTTTGGGGTTTAGGGTTTAGGGTTTAGGGTTTAGGGCTCTCAGGGCTTCATGGGGTTTAGGGTCCCGGGATTCATGGAGTTGTTTGGGTTTTGTGGGAATCATTGGACCTGAAGGGCCTAAGAGTTCGGGGGCTCAGGGGCTTCATCGAGTTTAGGGCTTAGGGCTTAGGGCTTAGGGCTTAGGGTTTAGGGTTTAGGGTTTAGGGTTTAGGGTTTAGGGTTTAGGGATCAGCAGTTCTGAGCGTGAAGAGTCTAGTCCAGCCATTCTCTCGGCCAACACCCACCCGCCCAAAGAACCCTTTGCAGCCTAAACTCTAACCCTAAACCCCCAAACCCTAAACCCTAAACCCTAAGCCCTAAACCCTAATCCCTAAATCTCTTTTCCTAGGCCCAGGAGGAGCCTAGGAATAGAAAAGGGGTACCCCTTTTTGGTTTTAAAAGAATTACAAGGGAACCCCAACCCTAAAAGAAGGGGGCCCACTCCGGTCCTGGTTTCTCTTTCAGCCGCTTGTCTCGGGTCGGCTACTCTCAGGGCTTGGGGTTTGGGGCTTTGGGCCTAGAAAGGTCGGACCCTGGAGGCCCTAAACCCGAAAACCCTAAACCCTAAACCGCAGAATCCCTAAAAAACAGACTCCCTCCAACTCATGCCAGGTCGCACGTTGATGCCGTCCGGGTTCCTCAGATACCCAAACCCAGCTGCCCCCAGCTCAAGATTTCAAGTCCTTCCCACCATGTCGACCCTTCAATTGGGTTTAGGGTTTAGGGTTTAGGGTTTAGGGTTTAGGGTTTAGGGTTTAGGGTTTAGGGTTTAGGGTTTAGGGTTTAGGGTTTAGGGTTGAGGGTTTAGGGTCTAGGGTCTAGGGTCTAGGGTTTAGGGTCCCATTACAGGGCCACAGGCCCCCCCCCCATCCCCAATCCCCCATCCCCCAAGCTTGTGAGGGTTTGGGGGGTTCGGGTGTTAAGTTGAGGGAGGGTTTCGGGCTGGGATTTGGGTTTAAGGTTCCGGGTTTAGGGTTTAGGGTTTAGGGTTTAGGGCTTAGGGTTTAGGGTTTAGGGTTTAGAGTCTCGAGACCGTTCACACAAGTGAAGGGATAGGAAGGGATGTAGAAATCCGTTGAGCAGGGGTGTAAGCAGGGTAGGTGGAGCCATACCTGGCTATTACCCTAGACCCTGAACCCGAAACCCGGAACACTGAATCCTAAACTCCAATCCCTGAACCCTGAACCCTAAACCCTAAATAGAAACTACCCTGGAACCTCACATGGGTCCTTGCTGCTACCCATCCAAGACTTGTGAACAAGCCCCTGAGCCCTCAACCCTAAACCCTGAGCTCTAGGCCCAAAACCGTAAACCCTAAGCCCTAAGCCCGAAGCCCTAAGCCCTAAGCCCTAAGCCCTAAGCCCTAAACCCTAAACCCTAAACCCTAAACCCTAAACCCTAAACCCTACACGAGGTCACCTGCAGAGACGAGGCTCCTCACGGCCGCGCGGAACGCCTCACCAAGTCCGGAGTCCTTCCAGCAACCAGGGGTTTAGGGTTTAGGGTTTAGGGTTTAGGGTTTAGGGTTTAGGGTTTAGGGTTTAGGGTTTAGGGTTTAGGGTTTAGGGTTTAGGGTTTAGGGTTTAGGGTTTAGGGTTGAGGGCGTAGGAGGCTCAGTGAAATTTGGGTTTTTCGGGTTTAGGGTTTAGGGCTTAGGAGGCTCAGTGAAATTTAGGGTTTCGAGTTTAGGACTTAGGGGGCTCCGCGAAATTTCGCGTCTCGGGTTTAGGGTTTAGGGTTTAGGGTTTAGGGAAGGTTTGTCCGGTTTATGGGGGGCCATCCTGCCTTCCACTCGCCCGGGCCATCCGCACGGAAGTTGGTGGCATAGTCCAGCTCCTACCACGTGTCCGAAACCCTAGCCCTAAACCCTAAACCCTAAACCCTAAACCCTAAGCCCTAAGCCCTAAACCCCAAACCCTAAACCCTAAACCCTAAACCCTGAACGATCCCTGGGCGTTTCGAAGTTCAGGTCTGTGCTCAGGGGGGCTGTGGGGTGCAGAGCCCAGCTTGAGTTGCTCTGGGTTTAGGGTTTAGGGTTTAGGGTTTAGGGTTTAGGGTTTAGGGTTTAGGGTTTAGGGTTTAGGGTTGTGGGGCGTCCAGCATTTTGCGGAGGGCTGTCTTGGGTTTAGGGATCTCACCTCGAGACATCGGAAAAACACGTAGGTTTGCATTTGCAGGCTTATCGAACTCGTTGATCCCATCTCGAGCCTCTGCTATTTTGAAGCCCCTGATGTGTTTAGGGTTTAGGGTTTAGGGCTTAGGGCTTAGGGTTTAGGGTTTAGGGCTTAGGGCTTAGGGTTACTCAACAACATTCGCCTAGTTTAGGGAGCTGACCCTGTGCATTTCGCAGTGCAGGCCTGTACACCTATCTATGCTGCCTTGTAGACGGAGTAGATGCAGTTCCCACCAAGGTCCAAGAAGAAGATGTCGTAGAAGTTGCGCTCGTAGAGAATGGCGCGGTATCTCGGAAGATGTGGTAGGTGGTTGCTATTAACTAGCATCTTCAACATGAAACTCTAAACCCTACCTCATACCCTAGGCCCTAAACCCTAAGCCCCAAACCCGAAACCCTAACTCCCAAGGCTCCCCCCCCCCGCCCTGAACACTGGAATGAAGCTTTCGGGAGCTAGCTCCGGGTTCAGTGGCTTTAAGGGCAGCTGAGTGGGGCTTAGGGGTTTTAGGGCTCCGGGGAGGTTTAGGGTTTAGAGCTGAGGGTTTAGGGTTTAGGGTTTAGGGTTTAGGGCTTCGGGTTTCGGGTTTAGGGTTTAGCGTTGAGGGTTTAGGGGTGAGGGTTTCGGACTGAGAGATGTAGGGCTGAGGGTCCCCCCAAACCCCGAAAAGAAAATCCTGCCCTGGAAGGCCCGAAACCCTAAACCCTAAACCCTAAACCCTAAACCCTAAACCCTAAACCCTAAACCCTAAACCCCAAAACCCCAAAACCCGGAACCCTGAACCCAAACAAAGAACCCCCAAGGACTCGCGAGTCCAAGCGGCACCGGGTGGTACTGCCGATGTACCTGGCTCAACGGAGTAATATAGGGGCCTTCGCGATTGGAATGTTTAGGGTTTAGGGTTTAGGGTTTAGGGTTTAGGGTTTAGGGTTTAGGGTTTAGGGTTTAGGGTTTAGGGTTTAGGGTTTAGGGTATGGTTTAGGGCTTGGGGGTTAGGTTCCGTGCTTAGGCTTAACTTTGCCTTTTTTCGGGGGGTCAGCGGTAGAAAGGAAAGTGCTCCGCAAAATTCAGTGCTAGGGTTTAGGGTTTAGGGTTTAGGGTTTAGGCCTTGGGGTTTAGGGGATTGCTGAGCAGCCACACTCAAGATTCTTCAGGGTTTGGGGCAAACAGGGCGACCTTTTGGTTTCAAGGGGGCATGAGGGCTTACTCTGGGTCCAAGATTTGCGCATACGTATATGGTGAGTTCTCAAAATGATGGCCCCTTGTTGCGTACCCTAAATAAGAGGGGCCGCCTTATAAAGAGGACCCCAAAACAAACCCTAATTTAGAGCAGCCACCATATATATCCCTAAACCCTAAACCCTAAACCCTAAACCCTAAACCTCTACGAGGAGTGACGAAGCTCGCCGGCCCGCCTGGTGGTATTCCTCGGATCCCTCCGCAGCATCGAGCTGGTCCTGACAAGGGTTTAGGGTTTAGGGTTTAGGGTTTAACCCCAAATCCTAAACCGTAGAGAGCCGGGGGACCTGGGAAGTAGGTACAAAGTAGAGTTCTAAATGCCCTAACTGGAACGGACCCCCAAAACGCACTGTGCCATGGGTTCTTTATAAGGGAACCTAACCACCCCTGAAACACAAGGAATAAGGGTTTGGGGCTTCTCGCTTTTCTAGACCCAGGAGTAACCAAGAAAGAAAAAAGGCTTAGGGTTCAGGGTCTAGGGTTTCAGGGTTTGCGTGACGTCCCCCTCGAGACACAATGACGTCGGCTTCTTCGTTCACGTCGACACGATTCGCCGCCGCTGCGATTCGCCGTCGCTGTGCTCGAACGGCGATGTGGTTTGCAACTTATGGTCACACCAGCTGGCCATATGCAAGTGAAGCTCGTCAAGCAGGCTCGCCACCCCCCCCCCCCCCCCCCAAAAAAAAAAAAAAAAAGCCCTCAAAACTCGGGAGCCTGAGTCCCCTCAGACCTGAACTCTCAGACGCTGCGCAAGAACCAAACGCCTTAAACCCGGCACCCTGAAACCCTAAACCATAAATCATAAACCATAAACCCTAAACCCTAAACCCTAAACCCAAAGCCTAAAGCCTAAACCCTAGACGCCAGCCAGCGCCGTCCTTTTGCCCCAGTGGGAAGGGGTTGAGGAGGATGTAAGCAATCTGCAGACTCAGGAGCCTCTCGGCATTGGTGTCCTGAGTTGCAGGCTTGGAGCTTAGGGCAGCTTTGTTCTACTCAAGGTTGAACCCCTTTGTATGACGGTCAAGGAAGGTTGTTTAGGGTTTAGGGAACCCTAAACCCTAAACCCTACACCCTACACCCTAAACCCTAAACCCTAAACCCTAAACTCTAAACTCCGAGCCCTGAGATCACCGCGCGGTGCCCCCCGCGCGTATCACGCCTGCGCCGGATTCGCTGCCGAGCAGAGCTCCCGCCGCACTGGCGCCTTCGGCCTCGCCTGTCCTGTGGCCTGCGTCCTGACACTAGGGGTTTAGGGTTTAGGGTTTAGGGTTTAGGGTTTAGGGTTTAGGGTTTAGCCCTCTCACGGGTTTTCGCCAGTGGTGCAACGGGAGCGAACCTTGCGAGGTAGAGCCAGGGTTGACTATAAGAAGGCGAGGTTCTACCATGGGAGCAAGAGCCCCTGCGGGGCATTGGTGCTCATTCCACGCCAATCCCCGGACAGACCGGCGAGCTTTCTCCATCACAGAACCCTGAACCCTGAACCCTGAACCCTGAACCTGAACCCTAAACCCTAAACCCTAAACCCTAAACCCTAAACCCTAAACCCTAAACCCTAAACCCTAAACCCTAAACCCTAAACCCCAAACCCTAAACCCTAAACCCTACACCCTGAGGCTGGCTGGCCTGTGAGGAGGCCTAAGATGATTCGAGATAGTCGGCCACTCTGAACAGCCAAAGCTCCAAAAAGGAAAATATCCGAAGGCAAGGTAGCTAGTAACCCGACTAAGACGGGTTGCATTCATCCTACTAGATCACAGAGCACCATGGGAACAAAAAGCCATACTCTCTTCTTTACTAGTACTGAACGGAGCTTTTAGGGGAAACTGATCCCTGCAAAAAACAGAAGAACACACGCCACCCTAAACCCTAAACCCTAAACCCTAAACCCTAAACCCTAAACCCTGAACCACTCTTAGATTGCCGAGGTTTGGGCTTAGGGTTTAGGGAATTAGGGTTTAGGCTTCCGTCTGCAAGCTGTAGGGGGTTTCGGGTTTAGTTAGGGTTTAGGGTTTAGGGTTTAGGGTTTAGGGTTTAGGGTTTAGGGTTTAGGGTTTAGGGTTTAGGGTTTGGGGTTTGGGGTTTAGGGTTTAGGGTTTAGGGTTTAGGGTTTAGGGTTTAAGGTTTAGGGTTTAGGGTTTAGGGTTTAGGGTTTAGAGATTTGAGGTTCTCCAACCACAGCCAGGTGGCCCGGTACTTGTCCCATGCTTGCTTGAAGGCCCACATCGCAGCAACCTCCCAGCAGAGCTTTTCGGGGTCTATGCAACCCGGTTTAGGGTTTAGGGTTTAGGCTTTAGGGTTTAGGGTTTAGGGTTTAGAGTTTAGAGTTTAGGGGCTTGAACTAGGGATCAACGATGAACTCATTTCTTTTCCGGCTTAGGGCTCGACAGTTTGGGTAAAGCCTGGGCTGTGTTACTTTTCCCACAGCCCCAAACCCTAAACCCTAAACCCCAAATAATAGAGGGCCTTAAGAATTAGAACGCGGTTAATTATGGTATGTTTATAAAGGAACCATAAGGGAATAATGCTAGTAACTAATCATATAGGGCCTTAATACTTAGAACAGTTTGTTGGGGGCTTAGTATGGTATGTTTGTAAAGGAACCATAAGGGAAGACTATGAGCAACTATTCCGAATCCTATATTGGGCACATTGCTGGGGTTTAGGTTTCGGGTGCACTCCAGACGTGACTGTCTTGCATCTTGTACAACTGCATCTGCCACTAAATCCCCCTACACCCCGTTAAAGGCTACTTCCTTGGGTAAGCTCAAACACCCTTAGTTCGGGTGAACCTGGGGGTCAGGAGTAGGAGCGTTGGAGGAGGGGAGGATCCCCTCCTCTGCGGGAAACGCATGGTTTTGCTACGTCACTATCGGACAGAGTCCAAACTCCAAGTTTCGGATCGCTTGCGCTTTCTGAACCTCAAACCCCAAGAATTCCAAAGGTCAACGACCAGCTGGGTAAGTACGCTCAGCTGTCGTTCCTGGGATACAGAGGCCAAAGCGCGCACCCTAACCTAAACCCCCGAACACCAAGCTACTGTATTTGTTTAAGAAATCCCCCAAAATAAAACTACTGTTCCGTATAAGGGCAATGGCAATATAGGGATTATCATCTTTGCATGTGGTGGGGGGTTCTGAAGCAAAAGAGTAGAAGTTTTTTGGGGGGTTTCAAAACCTACACCCTATACTCAGGATTCCACGTTCCCTAGACAGGCATCCAAGTTCCTTCGACTTGGCAGGCCAGTAGGCATGTTCTCATAATGAGGGTGCCCCTTTTTGGGGTTGGCTACTTGCTAAGGGAACCTTGAACCCCCGGGGGAAAGGGTACCTCTGGGCTACCTTTGGACACCAACACCTATTAGGGGTCCCCTAACCCTAAACCCCAAACCCTAAACCCTAAACCCTAAACCCTAAACCCTAACCCTAAACCCTAAACCCTAGACCTCAAACCTTCAGTTCCCAGGCACCAGCTCGAGTTTTGACGACTCGGTCTCGGTGAACTGCTTCTGCTCCTGCTACAGGTTTAGGGTTTAGGGTTTAGGGTTTAGGGTTCAGGGTCCTTTTCTGCTTCCTCCCATGATACAGAGCCTTGTACTTAGTATTCAGGGCACCCAAAATGGGACTACCATTTAGAGAACTGCCCCAATACCCAGACCAAACACTGTCTGAGGATCCTGGTGACACAAGCAACAAGGCTGCCCAGTGACCAAGGCTCAAAAAGGGTGCCCTTTTTTGCTTAGAGGGGTTTACAAGGGAACCTCAACCTGCCAAAAAGGGAATAAGGGTCCTACTGGGCAGCCTAGGCAAACTTAACAACCTTCGAAACCGTTATGCCCCCTGAACGTTTTGGTTCCTTTAGGCCTTAAGGGGTTCAAGGGGGGGTATGTAACCCAAGGTTCCCTAATACTCCCCACTAAGGCTCCCTAAGCTTTCTAGGTACCGAAACCATGAACCCCCCTCCCAAAAGAACCCTATAATGAACACTTCGGAACGACCAACCGACATTAAAACCTTCGCCCCCCTCAACGCTGCCGGAACGAAACACCGACAGCAAAAAAGGACCCACATTGCAACCCTAAACCCTAAACCCAAAACCCTAAACCCAAAACCCCAAACCCTAAACCCTAAACCCTAAACCCTAAAGTCCTCCAAACCCTGCACCGAGATGTTCAGCCAGCTCTGCGAGTAGCCTTGGCGCGGGCAGAGGAGCGCAGGGCCGAAGAAAGGAAGAAGCCCTTTAGGGTTCAGGGTTTAGGGTTTAGGGTTTAGGGTTTAGGGTTTAGGGTTTAGGGTTCAGGGTTTAGGGTTTAGGTTTTAGGGTTTAGGTTTAGGGTTTAGGGTTTACGGTTTAGGGCTTAGGGCTTAGGGCTTAGGGGTAGGGGTTTAGGGCTTGGGATTTTCGGTTTGGGGTGTGTAGGAATTGTATAGGGTTTGGGTGCCAGAAACGTTTTGAACCAAAGTTTTCAACACGAAACGCTTTGAACGAAAGTTGTCAACGAACACTTGCAAGGAACCGTTTTCAACGAAACGTTGTCAACGAAACGTTTCTCTCTTACACTATGTTCAGGTTCATTCACAACCATTGAACCTCCGGGCTGTAAGTTTGGGCCAAACGTTTTCAACGCAAGTGTTCAACGAACCGTTTCTCTTTTGGACTCTTTTTTTCACAACCATTTGACTCCCACGGCTGGGTGTGAAACGAAACGTGGCCGAACGTAAGTCTTGAAGGGAACGTTTTGAACGAAACGTCCTTTTGACGAAGGTTTTGAACGAAACGCTGTTGCTTTGGAACGGAACTTTTCTGCTTTGGAACCTAGTTCAAAATTTTGTGGAGGGGAAGGACGCACAGGTTTTAAGTGAATTGAGCATTTGGCCTCCTAAACGCTCTTTGTGTTCATGAAGTTAAGCTCGGCTGGTCAGCTGTTTAGTCCAATATATTGGGACATTCAAAACGGCACCAGATGCAACTTCCATGTACGAGTAGTTTGTCTTGAGCGTGCAGGGTTTGGAGCTCAAAGCTGCATGAGCCTAGATCATGCCCCCAAGCGGCATGGACTTAGCTTTGGAGTAGACCCTGGAAAAAAAAGTACATACCTTTCAGGTAACAGTAGCTCTAATCGGAACCCAGAACCAAAAAAAGTATTAAAGTATAGTACTCCAAGACCCAGTAGAGCTAGAGGAACTTTGTTCCCAAGGTCCCCCCCCCATGATGGGTACGCTGAGGACGTTCAAGGGTTCATCATTGTTCATAAGTCAGGCGGCACCTTTGAGAGGACGAGGTCATCAACAAAAAGGCTCACAGTTCAAGTTTTTTTTTAATAGGGATTAGCTAAGGAGCTGTTAGCAGAAGGGGGAACATCCCTAAACCCTAAACCCTAAACCCTAAACCCTAAACCCTAAACCCTAAACCCTAAACCCTAAACCCTAAACCCTAAACCCTAAACCCTAAACCTACATGAATGTGAGATCCAGGCAACCGTTTGACAGCAGCGCGTACTCGGTCTCGACCTTCTGAAACCTTGCTTTCCGGGTACTTACATGGTCCCTTAGTACCCTAAACCCTAAACCCTAAACCCTAAACCCTAAACCCTAAACCCTATGGGCACTTAACAAGGGGAGTCCTTATATACCCTTATATACTACCCTTATATACTACCCTTATATACCCTTATATACCCTTATATACCCTTATATACCCTTATATACACCTTCACAACCCAAGGGTCCATACTTCAGAACCTCTTAAGCGGGGGCAAGGGGCCATGTGAAGGGCTCATGGAACTAAACTTTAGGGTTTAGGGTTTAGGGTTTAGGGTTTAGGGTTTAGGGTTTAGGGTTTAGGGTTTAGGGTTTAGGGTTTAGGGTTTAGGGTTTAGGGTTTAGGGTTTAGGGTTTAGGGCTGCAGCGTGCTGCGCGCCTATCATGCGGGGTTATGCGCCGCTCTCAGGTTGAGGGTTGAGGGTTTTAAGAGTGTAGGGGAACCCTGAACCTTTAAACCCTAAACTCAGAAACCGGCGCGGAATTTGGAGGGTGTCGCCACGAGTGCGTGTTAGACTTTCAGAGTCTCAGAAGCCCTCAACACCGAAAGAGGGGGCCGAGTAACTTGCGAGTTTCAAGGGACTGCAGGAGGGACCCTTATAAGGGGCGTTTGGGATTCTTTTCGGGCTTGTTAGGGGCTACTTAGGTATAGGGGGGGCTCTTTGAGGTATATATAGGGCTTATATAGGGGAAGAAGATTGAGGGACCCCTTGTAGGGGTCCCTCCTTATACCCCTTTTTTTAGTTCTCAGCAGGGAACGAGAGACCTTCTCGAGCCCTAGATAAGCCTTTTAGGGCTTAGGATTGAGGGTTTAGGGTTTGCCTGATTCCCTAGACAGGAAGGTAAGGTAGCCGGAACCGAAGAAACAGGGAATAAGGTTACTGCTGGGGCATCCTCGTGCATCCTACACCAGCCCGTTTAGGGTTTAGGGTTTAGGGTTTAGGGCTAGCTTGGGAATCTTGGGACTTAGGTTTTCGTGTAAGGTTTGGGGATGGGCTTAGGGTCCCTAAGCCCGAACCTGCCTTTGGGGGTTCGGGACAAAACCTCCCCTAAACCCTAAACCCTAAATCCTAAACCTTTTTCGCCGAAGGGGCTTGTACTCCAGACGGCTGAGCTGCTCCAGCGCGATCTCCCACGACTCAGCTTCCCGACCATGCCGCACGGGAGGGTTTAGGGTTTAGGGTTTAGGGCTTAGGGCTTAGGGCTTAGGGTTTAGGGTTTAAGGTTTAGCGATTTGGGCTTTCGGGATTCGACGCGAGTGGGAAGAGAGGCTGATTGGGTTTAGGCGGCTTAGGGTTTCAGGGCGTCCACGTGGATGCGAAGAGAGGTTTAGGGGTTTAGAAGTGCTAGACCCAGAGTAAGCCAGGAATAAAAAGGGTGTTTTTGGTCTGAAGAGCTCTCCAGATGGAGGGTCTACCTCAAAACTAAGGGACGGTTTAGAAGGGTTTAGGGTTTAGGGTTTAGGATTTAGGGTTTAGGGTTTAGGGCTTGAAATGACTCCGACTATGCAAAATGCCGATAAGGAGACCTTGAACCGTACACCCTGTGCTAAACTCTGAAACCTAGACCCTAAACCCTACAACCCTAAAACCCCAAACCCGGCACTTGAACCTAGGCCACTAAGCCCTAACCCTACACCCTACTGCACTCCAAACCCCTGCCTAAAGCCTACACTCTAAACCCTACTACACCCTAAGCCCCTACCTTAAACCCTATTACGCCCTACCTAAGCCTAAACCTTAAACCCTACCACACTAAGCGCCTGCCGTAAACCCCACCAAATCGTAACACTAATCCCTAAACCCTAAACCCTAAACCCTAAACCCTCCTACAGAGCCCGCCAAGCCAAGAGGCTGTCGGGCTGAGAATCGGATTGCAAGTGCCGACACCTGAACGCAGCGTTTGGGGGGGGTCCTTCGGGTTTGCGGCCGACGCCAAAGATTTAGAGTCTAGGGTTAACATGGGTTCACCCTGAACCTAAACCCTCAACCCTCAACCCTCAACCCTAAACCCTGAACCCTAAATCCTAAACCCTAAGCCCTAAATCCATCACTTACGTTGACAGGGCCACGCCCTCAAGTGCAGGGCACCCCCATTTTCGTCAAGCCTTCCCAAGGCACGTGCACGAAGTTCGAGGGTCTTGCAGGGACCCCCTAAACCCATAACCCTGATCAACCCTTAGAATCCATAGAAAACCCATATACTCTATAAACCCTAAACCCTAAATCCTGGGATCCCTAGAAACCCCAGAAACTCTATAACCCTAAACCCCTAAAAAAACGGCCTGCAAGCAGCCTTGGTGCCAAGGCCCACATCGTTCCAGGTGGAACCCCACAACAAGGGTTGAGGGTTGATGGTTTAGGATTAGGGTGGTTTGGGGTTTCGGGTTCAGGGTTTCGGGCGGGCTCAAACAGAAAACGAAAACAAATTCCGGTGCTTAGGTTCAGGCTTTTGGTTAAGTTGTAGGCCTCAACCCAGAAGCGTACAAGCAACAGCATCGGTCGCACACCCTGCAGCCTGAACCCTAAACCCTAAACACCCTGAACCCCAAACCCTAAACCCTAAACCCCAAACCCGAAATCCCTAAACCCTAGACCCTGAACCCGAAACCCTAACACCCTGATGCCCTGCCTGTTTCGATTCATGGTTGGGATAGCATTAAAAATCTTACTTGTTTATTCCTTATTGGGTTTAAGTACCCTTAAAATGTAACATGTTACCCAACTACTAGGCTGCCCAGTAACCAAGGCTTAAAAAGGGTGCCCTTTTTTGCTTAAAGGGGTTTCTAAGGGAACCTAAACCCTCCAAAAAGGGAATAAGGGTACTACTGGGCATCCTAGACTATGACAAAGTAACTGATGCCCTGCCTGTTTTGTAGTAGCTGACAGCAGTCGCGACCGTGTCTGCGACCGTTGCCAGAACCGGCTCCTCTGCGGATTGCGGGCTGCTTCGGGTTTAGGGTTTAGGGTTTAGGGTTTAGGGTTTAGGGTTTAGGGTTTAGGGTTTAGGGTTTAGGGTTTAGGGTTTTGGGATTTGGGCTTCGGGCTTCGGGCTTAGGTGCCTAAACTTGAAGTAGACGCTTAAACCTCAGGGTCCTGACAGGTGAATCCGAGCCCCAGCCCTAAACCCTAAACCCTAAACCCTCAACCCTAAACTCTAAACCCTAAACCCTAAACCCTAAACCCTAAACCCTAAACCCTAAACCCTAAGGGCTTAGGCATCTATTCAAGTTTCTGCGGCTCGAAGCTTGGGGCGTGGATCCCACCCTTGCTGAACCCGTTAAAAGCCTATAAACACCCCTCCCTGCCACCAGGTTAGGGTTCAGGGTTCAGGGTTCAGGGTTCAGGGTTCAGGGTTCAGGGTTCAGGGTTCAGGGTTTAGGGTTTAGGGTTTGGAGTTTGGAGTTTGGGGTTTAGGGTTTAGGGTTTAGGGTTTAGGGTTAGGGTTTAGGTTTTAGGTTTAGGGTTTAGGGTTTAGGGTTTAGGGTTTAGGGCTTAGGGCTTAGGGTTTCAATTTCTGAACTCCTAAGCCCTAAATCAAGGGTTCCCCTACTACCCCCCCTCTCCCCTCTATACTTACCCCCCAAGGTTCCCCCGGGAAAAATAAAGCTTAATTAAAGTTATTCAGGGGGGGAACCTAGCGGGCGCAGTGTAGAGGGGGGTAGCAGGTAAACCCATGACTAAACCCTAAGCCCTAAACCCCAAACCCCAAACCCTAAACCCCTAAGATCCTAAGCCCTAGACCCTAAACCCCAAACCCTAAGCCCTAAACCCTAAACCCCAAACCCTAAACCCCAAACCCTAAACCCCAAACCCTAAACCCCAAACCCTAAACCCCAAACCCTAAACCCCAAACCCTAAACCCTAAACCCTAGTAACCCTAGCCCTAAACCCTAAACCCTAAAACCCCGAACCCCGCGGTCCATCTCCGAGACTTCGATGGGCTTCGACTCAGGCGGCATCTGGGTGCAGAACACACCCAGTAGGGAACCATCCTCCGCAGAAAGGTTGAGGGTTTAGGGTTTAGGGTTTAGGGTTTGGAGTTTGGGGTTTAGGGTTTAGGGTTTAGGGTTTAGGGTTTCGGGTTTGGGGTTTAGGGTTTAGGGTTTGGGGTTTAGGGTTTCGGGTTTGGGGTTTAGGGTTTATGGTCTAGGGTTTGGGGTTTAGGCTTTAGGGGTGCAGCGGGAAGAAAGAGGGGCTTGGGATTTGGGACCCACCGTTTCCCATGAAGAATGAACGAATGCGAAGCCCTTAAACTGTCTGAACTGGACCCAAGAGGAACCTCAAGGCCTGGGATTTACCCTAACCCCTAAACCCCTCAACCCTCAACCCCTAAACTCTCGACCCCTAAACCCTAAACCCTAAACCTGAACCCTAAACCCTAAACCCTAAACCCTAAACCCTAAACCCTAAACCCTAGCCCTAAACCCTGAACCCTAAGCCCTAGCCCTAAACCCTAAACCCTTGCAGGAGCTAAGTCCTGCATGATGCCAGTGGACAGGAAGCTCGCAAGGGCACCGTAGCTAGGCCTGAACTGCGCGCCGAGTCAGGCTACAGAGGCCCCAAAAGCCCGGCTTAGGGTTTAAGGGTTAAGGGTTAAGGGTTAAGGGTTAAGGGTTAAGGGTTTAGGGTTTAGGGTTTAGGGTTAGGCTTTAGGGTTTAGGGTAAAAATCCGAAGAAGACTTTTTAAAGCCCGAAAAATCTTGAAAACCCTGAGAACCTTCAAGGCACCCTGTAGAACACGTTTCACCCCCTAAAAGCCTTTAAACAACCAAGCTGAACTGAAGCCCGAAAGTGGAACCGACGAGGGAGGTTCTCGATTCGGGGTTGAGGGTTTGGGGTTTTGGGGTTTAGGGTGTAGAGTTTAGGCTTTGTGCTCCTAAAACCCGGGTCCCTATTCGCGGGAGGCACCCCAAACCCTAAACCCTAAACCCTAAACCCTATCCCCCCCAAAAAACAAACCAATACCAATAAACAATACAGAACAAAAAACAGCCCATGCTGAGGAATCTGGCCCGTAGGGCTTCCAGTCGATGACATTGATCTGCTCAGGATTGGCCACGGCCGCCCGAAAAGCCTGTGAGGGTTGAGGGGTCAGGATTTGGAGTTGAGGGTGTTGGGGTTAAGGCTTTGGGGTTTAGCGTTTCGGGGTTTAGGGTTTAGGGGTTTAGGTTTAGGGCTTTGAGGGTTTGAGGGCTTTGAGGCTTTGAGGGCTTGAGGGCTTTGAGGGTTGACGGTTGAGTTTCATATTACGCTATTTTATTTATTTTCCATCTGGTTGAGGGTTTAGGGTTCAAGGGTTCAAGGGTTTAGGGTGGAGCGAGGATTTTTTTTGTCAATTTTTCTGGTTTTTTTTTGTGAATTTTCTTGTTTTTTCTTGCTTTTCTTGTGGTTTTCAGAACATGCCCTCCTGGTTCGGCCCGTCGTCCTCCTCTGGAGGGAATTCTTTTCTGTGTATTTTTCTGGTTTTTTTGGTGAATTTTGCTGGTTTTCAGCTTCCGATGGCCTCTCAGCGGCACCGCGTGTCCGGAACAGGACCAAATCTCAACGTGCTACAACAACACACTACGTCCAACCCTTCGTCCTTTTGCAGCTCGCGCTTGGAGCGTCAGGGCGGCCATCGTTGGCCGCGACAGGACTGAAAAGCTAATTAACGTTCGAGGCTGGTTCAAGAGGAACCTCGGCTGCTTCAATCTGACACTTTGCTGCGGCTTATGGTGGACGATTTGGGTCTTATTAAGCTCTACGGTTTGCGGGGTCCAGGTTGCTCCTCGTATCATTGCCCCTTCAGTCCGGAACTACGGTTTAGGGTTTAGGGTGTAATTAGGGTGTGTTGAGGGTCAGTGGTATCGGGAATCCACATCTACATCCTCTCAGCGCGGATCTGCTCCCGGCGTCCAGCAGGTACTGCCTCGACGGCTGCATGGGGACTCTGGTGCCCGCAGAACCCCAGAAGCCCTTTCAACCTCGCCCTAAACCGCGACCCCGAACCCCAGAAGCCCTTTCAACCTCGCCCTAAACCGCAACCCCTAAACCCTGTACCTACCCTAAACCCAAGTCCTAAAGTAGTTTAGTTCGAACATCCCCTAGCGCCAGCGCTTCCGGCAATTGCAGGCGTCCAACACCCTAGATGACAAGTTGCGTTTCGTGTTTGGGGCTACGTCTTCCGAAGCTGCGAGCGCAACTGATCTGGACAGCTATGCTCTTTGGAGTAATCTGGTTTGTCAGTCAAGACTCAGACAAGCTGCGCCAAGTCCGTAGCTACCTGGGATTCTCAGATTCTCTAACAAAGCCAAATCGACCAACATGCTGGGTCAGGTCAGACCGTGCAGGGCTGGCAGGAACATGGGCTTGCGGTAGCTTGCTTCCTGGACGTGACATGTAACGTACAGTTACAAACATCTCACTTCGCCGCCCTGAAGGCGACGGCCGACTTACTCTGGTGCCCTCAGAACCCCAGAAGCCCTTTCAATCTCGCCCTAAACCGCGACCCCGAACCCCAGAAGCCCTTTCAACCTCGCCCTAAACCGCAACCCCTAAACCCTGTACCTACCCTAAACCCAAGTCCTAAAGTAGTTTAGTTCGAACATCCCCTAGCGCCAGCGCTTCCGGCAATTGCAGGCGTCCAACACCCTAGATGACAAGTTGCGTTTCGTGTTTGGGGCTACGTCTTCCGAAGCTGCGAGCGCAACTTATCTGGACAGCTATGCTCTTTGGAGTAATCTGGTTTGTCAGTCAAGACTCAAACAAGCTGCGCCAAGTCCGTAGCTACCTGGGATTCTCAGATTCTCTAACAAAGCCAAATCGACCAACGTGCTCGGTCAGGTCAGACCGTGCAGGGCTGGCAGGAACATGGGCTTGCGGTAGCTTGCTTCCTGGACGTGACATGTAACGTACATTTACAAACATCTCACTTCGCCGCCCTCAAGGCGACGGCCGACTTGCTGCCCAAGGGGCGAGTGTTGACGAGCCAGATCCAACAGGGCTGCGATGGTCGTCACTCGGGCATCCTCAGTCATTCTTTCTCCACGCTCTTTCGACTCTTTCGCGTTTGACAAGGGAACCCACATGGCTGCGGACAGGTGACTGCTTTCACACCAAAATGGTTTGCTAATGACCGCAGTGTGGGGAAGTTTCCCGGACCCTTCGGTCTCGCGGAAGATGCAGCTCCCCGGCTGTCCCAGGCCATCTCCCAGAGAATGTCGTGCGACAGGGATGCGAGTAAGGCCTGGTCCTCTGCTGTCCGGACTGGTGCCTGACGCACAACCTCTTGAGCTGCGGGGGCTTGGCGGTGGGTCAGTGACCAGGCAGCTGGGTCTGTGCCGGCCATGACGTTGGTCATGACCTGCGAGGTCAGGGATGGAGTGGTTGGGACGGACCTTTTTGCAGCGGCCTTCGCCGCCACAGGACGCAGGGCACCGACTGCAGACGTTTTGGCTTTTGCCGTTGTCGACGAAGGCTGATTCGGATGGAGCAGCTGTAGCAATTTGAGAGCCTCGGGCAAGGAAAACCCGGCATCTTGGCGCAGGTGGCGCTCGCTCAGCAGCTTCAGGTCCTCTAGGCTCAGGATGCCAAGGGCCTGCAGGCGTCCTGCCCGGACCGGCAGCACGGCCTCGGGGCAGACAACAGACAGGACGCTCAGCACGTCCTCCGGTATGGCGCTGTGGCTAGGCGAAGCTGTCGCAGCAGGCGCCACAACGCAAGGGCCGGGGAGCGTGCGACCCTGTGGCTTGTCACTACGCAGAAGGGCGGCGCCTGGCGGTCGGCCTGCTTTCTTGCGCGGTGCCATGCAGACCTTGCTGCTGAGCTGCGGTTGCTGCAAGTGCAGTAATGCTGCATACAAATGCTCGCAGGGCCCGTGGAGAGCAGCTTCGTGACACGAACACAGACCCCTGCTGTGGATGTTGCCTGCGTTCGTGGCCCTCTCACCTGGCACGCTCTTCCAGTACCGTTCGGCATGGGGCCCGACTGCAACCAGTGTCCAGCGCCCGAAGATTTCTTTTGCGCGAGGCCAATCGCAGATCTCAGCCGCTCCACGTTCTGTTTTTGTGACGCCTAGCGACTGAAGAGCTGACCGCAAATGAGCCTCATCTCTGGCGCTGAAAGCTTCAGCCATAAGACGAACAGTGTCCGGGGGCAAAGGCTCGACAGCACGGTGGACATACTTGGGCACTTTGGGAGCGCTGGCTGCGTCGTCTTTCTTCAGCAAAGATCGCGGAAAGAAGAACCACGAAGTTCCTTCTGAGTCTAGCCAAGTTTGCCAAGGAGACTGCGCTAGCAGCGTCTGTGCACACGTGCGCCCCTTCACCCCTAGAGCTGCATCGTCGGACAGACACGTCAGGTCTACACTTGCGTCCGAGCCGGGCCAGTCATGCAAGACCGGGTTCTCCGTCCGCAAGAATTGCAGTCTGGAGCGTACGATCGTCTGCAGATCCTCTGCCAGTGCATCCGGCGTACGGATGCTGTGGCCATCCGTGACACGCTTCAGAACGTGCTTGTGCCAGCTTTCCTGCGGCGCGCTGCCGCATGCGCTGCCAGGTTGCAGCCGATCATAGCACGCCCGCCAGCGCGCTGTGAAGAAACGCCCACGTTCATCCCCCTCCTCACATAGATAGTGGTCGGCTGTCGCCGCTGCTGCCTCATGGCACCCCCACTCATTGTGCATGACCTTCAATAATGACTGCCACACCACATGGAACAACCGCGCGGGCAATGTTCGGCTAGCATAGACCCAGGACATGATGAACTTCAAGCGACGACTTTTTTCCGCGACGTCGACACCTTGTAGGCGCTCAGCAAGCAGCTTTCGGATGCCGCCCATGCCATGGGGAGCGGTCGTACCAACCACGTGCGCCCAGTCGTCGACAGCGACAGCTCCGGCGGCCATTCTCTCCCGTGCTTTCCGAATGCCGAGGTGCATATCTGCATGCCATTGACGAACGGCATCAAGAGTGGCTGGCGCACCAACTTCCTCGGCGACTTTGTAAATGGCAGACACAACACTGGAGTACGACTGTTCGCTCTCCTTGTGGGCTATGGCAAACCCGACCTCATTGAACGTCGACGCACACGGTTTGTGGGGACTTTCCTTGCTCCATTGAGACCAATGTTTGGAAAGCACGCCCACGGTAAGCACCGCATAGTTCCCGAACAGGAGTCGATACGTGCCGTCAAGGCAGAGTTTTACGTACTCTGGGTTGCTCAGCCTAGCAAACGTCTCTTTGATGAGCGTTGGGCACAGCAAGGGAATGCAGGTGTTCACCCCATCGATAACAAAGTCCACGGGCAAGAGACCGTCAAAAGTCCGGTTATCAAAGTCGGGCCTGTCAGTCGCAGCCTTGAGACGGGCTACGAAAGCGTGGAAATCTTTCTCCTCCCACAGCTCAGCTCGTGGCTTCTTCTTCGTCTTCAGCTTTGCGTTGCGGCGCTTGGCCCAACCCACCAGAAATGATTTCTTGGGCGGACTAGGCAGCGGGCTTCCAGGACCTGCCGCCCTTGGGTTGCACAAGATGTCATAGGCATCACCGCCACATAAACCTCCCGGCTGCGACTGCAGAAGCCGCAATTGAGCTGTGCTGATGCCGCTTGCCGTTTTGCGTACATTGGCCGCATGCTTCTCAGGGTGATCCCCCGTGATCCTAATTTTGCGGCCCTCAATGTCGTACTCTGCTTCGCCCTGCCATGGACACTGCACGCCACTGGTCGTCTCATGGCTATTGCATTGGAAAGTACAGCGAAGATACATCTTGTTCTTGAGTCTACACAATCGGGTTTGGACCCGCATGGCCTCCCGCGGAGGCTTGGTCAAGAAGAACTGTTTGACTTGCTGCTGCAAGTTCTTGCCTGACCACGCTGCTCCGCCATGTTTCCAACCACCAAGGAACTCGCTGAAGCGCACCTCGTGCTTGCGCTTGCGGCCACGCTTGCTTTGCGCTTCTCTGGGCTCTCCGTGCTCTGAAGATGCTGAAACCCACACCTCGACTTCCCGGCTAGCTTCTATGTAGACAGCAAAGCCCGTCCAGGCACATGTCTTGGGCTTACAGTCTTGGCATCGCAGCTTAAAGCTCCCTTCACGAAACATAGGGTAAGCTGCAATTTTGGCAGGGAGTGGGGTGTCCGGGGTGCCTTGATGACCCTCCACAGCAGCCTGCAGAACAGCTGTGATGTTTCCTGCGGTGGGGCAGCGGGCACGGGAGCAAGTGAGCTCCTTGACGTGGCTGTCTGTCATGTTACGGTACCACTTTGTCGTAGCACCCGTCGTCCGCGACAGCTGGCCCGCTGGTCTTTTGGCACTCGCCTTTGCTTTGGGCGCCGGTCTGCCGGCGACAGCTTTTGCGGCAGGTCGCTTCATGCCTCTGCCAGCTCCGCTCATGGGTGGCAAGCTCGGCAGCGCTGGCGCGTGGCTTGAGCTTGGCCACGCAGTGCTGGGGACGCCCAAAACGCTCAACAAGGTAGCAATTTGTGGACTCAGCGGATTTCTGTAAAAAGCTACATCCATGCAACTTTGCCCCGGGCGTCGTCGGGTTTCCCGAAGCTGCCCGCAGCCCAATGTTTGCAATCGCGTCAAAGCCGACAGCCTGGCCTGGTATTGTTCTTGGCCACGCAACGAGGCTACCTTCTGGCTGATGTCGGTCATGGTAATGGGGTCTTTGGTGCATGCAAGCAAGATGCGCACTGCATCCGACTTTTGTTCTGAACCCTTTGACCCACCGACATCCCGGGAACCCCGGCATTGACTGGCTTCTGTGTCAACAACGACGCAGCTCAGCACAACACGTCGAGCGAAATGGTACATGCCGCACTTCAATGCATGATCAGAGACAGACTGGCCCTCGCTATCCGAAAAAACGTTTTCGCAAAGAGCCACAAGGAGTGCATTGGCAGGAACATGGTACTCCATCTTGCCGAGAGAGGACTTGGTAGCAGACCTCCAACCTTCACGCTGGGAAATCTCGTGCAAGCCGTAGTACAGCTCGCGAACCGCTCTCTGGGCTTCGGTTGATGTTGTCCACAGCCAGTCTCGGCGTTGCACTTGTGGGCCCCACCTCTGAGCAGCCCGGAACCAACAGTGCTGCATCAGTGCTTCTGCAGGCCGCGAATCCAGCAAGTCCGTGCTCTTGTCTACGATTGCACGCTGAGTGGGGGTCATGATGATACGGGCACTGAAGCCACACTCATGGTTGGCCTCCGTTGGAGCCCACCACTTTTTCAGCAAGTTATACTGCTGGTACAAGCACAAATTCACATTTGTGGTATTGAACACGAGTGGCTGGAGCTGCGTACCAGGAGGCTGCGAGGGCAGCTGCTCCCTGAAGGCTCGGACCTGGTCCACTGTACTTGCAGGCAGCTCACCGAACGATTGTAGGAGCTCGTCGAACTGCGCCCGTAAACTTGTGGGCTCTACGGGGTCTGGCGGCGCCATGCTTCCCGCTGCAGGAACGGGCCTTGACGAGTTTGCATGCTCTACCTTCTGCGCGCGGCTTCGCACCTGCTTCTCCTCGGCGCCAGTTCCCCATTCAAACTTACCCCCGTTAGCTGACTCCAGCCATCTTGTCACATCAAGGAATTTGCCCACATCTGTAGTTCCGGCTGATGGGAACTTGGGGTCGAGGATCGGCTTCGCCTCTGGACCAATTAGCAATAGCACCCCGCTCAGTTTCCTCAACCTTTCCTGGATGCGGCCATTGTTGCCAACCCCAGTCCAATGGTCGTCGTCGTAGAAGACGTCACGATGGTTGTGGACGCACCTTTCGAAGCACTCCAAGACCAAGCTGCAGGTGGGGCTTTTGCCTGCGTTCGGGTCACCTGTGGGGCAGGCCCACCATCTGGCCTTGGTTTTGAACCGGTGGCTCTTGTCCGCATAGAGAGCAATGGACACCTGCCGATTTTGGCACGAAGCCAAACAGGCCATAAAGAGATCGTACACAAACACGTCTGGCATTCCAGCTCCATGATGCAGGTACGCGGCCATGACAGCAAGAGGCAGAAGAGAAGTCAAACCTAGATGGCGATCCAACTCACCTGCAGCTTCTACACTCAGGTCTAGACAACGCGAAGCTTCCACAGATTCCAGTGTCTCCGAGACAACATCCTTCAAGGATCGTGCACAGATGTACTGTGAGTACAAGGGAATGCGCGACCAGAACTCCATACTGCAAGAGACCTCAAGGGGCGCAGCGGCCACCATCTTGAAGTAGTGGTACACTTCCGCGCTGGCATCATTGGTGAAGTCTGGCTGAGACATGGGAGGGGGAATTTGGGCCAGTGGGATAGCTCCGGCGTCGGGCAAACCTGCACGATCCTCAGGACCAGAGTCCAACTCGGAACTCAAGCTCGCAGACCTGGTTGCAGGCAAGGCAAGGCTATGATGAGGGACCGTATCGACTGCGTCCTCGTCAACCACGAACGCATCGCGCTCGAGACTTCTGGGCGGCAGACCTGGAGATGAGGACGCGGGAGCCTCCCTAGGCCACGCTGTTCGAAGTCGAACATGTCGCGCTGCCGAGGACGTCGCCCAGTCGGCTGCAGCGTCCAAATTGTCTGGGAAACGTTGCAAGGCTGTCCGAGCCAGCGCTACTGGAATGCCCATGGCCGCAAGTTGCTGCAGCTGCGTAGGACGGTCACGCGAGTCCATGCCGCCACGCAGTCGGACGACCCCAGTGACACTACTGCCGGCGATAGATACGCTGCAAGGACGACCACGCATGGGCAGCCAGTCAAGGCATACTTTTTCGAAGTGACCAGGGCCAGAGTCAGGGCCTGCTTCTTCCGTGTATAGCAAAGCCGCAGTGCACCATTGCAGGATATCGAACAATTGGTCAGAAGTCCAAGGAAGCAGGCGTGGTAGCTTGTGAGGTTCATAGTACACACAGCACCTGTCTGGGGCATGCAGCACGCAGAGTCCATGAGGGAAGGCATGGGGCAGAGACTGGACCACGGCATCGACATCCCACTCGTCAACTACACCGCCTGCCAGCAGCGACGAAGCGTTTCGAGAAGAAGGATGCCTCAGGCCACTCGTGCGTAGCCATGTACACACCATGTCTCGGACGTCTTCAGGCGAAGACTTCGTGCTGGCCTCAAGGGCGAGAAAGAAGCAATCGCCCATGCCAGCATTTGGCTCCACGCAGCTCTGAAAAAGGGCAAGCAGCAGGTCGGCATAAATGTCGCTGGTTTGCTGCTTGCCTGAACACAGACGGCCTCGCCCCGGACCAGTGAGCCGACCACGCCTGTTAATGGGCAATAAAGGGAGGATGTGGGCACAAAGCGGCAACTCACGTCCAGCCCGTAGGCCATGGCCTGAGAGCGGGGCCCTCGGCGGGAGGTGCGAGGTGGAAGGAGGCAGCGGGGGCGCAGCAAGGAAGGTGCAAGCACAGCCGGACAAAAGCGACAGCATGATGACGGACCGCATGGCCGTGCGACGAACTGTGCGACAGCACCGTGGTCTTTGCAGGCAACCAAACGCAAAGCAAGACAGTGATTGGCAGGTGATGTTCCTGGTTGCTGATGCGATGCAACTCAGGCATCTGGCCAGCTGCAGAATCGCAACCACTGGCAACAAGCGAAGGACTGCTGAGAATGCTCTTGGCATGCTGCACTTGTGCAAGTGAGCACAGGAAGCACGCTGATGTGGCCTGGCCAACGTTGCAAACAACGACTATCAGCACAAATCAGAAGTAGTATCACTGGCCGTCTTCCTAGCACATCTAGAAGAATCAGCAGTGCCTTTCGAGGACAAATAAGTAAGACTATGGTTACTATAGTCGTCGTCCTCGTTCTCGTCGTCCTCGTCCTCGTCCTGTCCTCGTCCTCGTCGTCGTCGTCGTCGTCGTCGTCGTCCTCGACGTCGTCGTCGTCATCGTCGTCGTCATCGTCGTCGTCAGCATCCTGGCGGTCTAAGACTCGTACTTGTCTGGGCACGATACTGTGAGGTGGACCCTGTCTGCGGTCGCCCCGTGGCAACCATGGTCTGCTCAGGTCGTTGCGTCAGGATATGTCAGGATTGCTCTTGCTGATATCCAGTTCTTGCTCCTGCCCGAAGCCAGACCCCGTGCCATACGCACCCTGCGTATAGGCTCTCTAGCACTGTTCTAGTTGCCGATATCCGATGCTCCTGCCAGAGCCCGTGCCTAACGCACAGCACGCGCAAGTTCCCACATCGGTTTGCATGGGGCTCCGTGTCCTAATGCTGCAGCCGCTACCGAAGTACGTGTGACATCAACATCCCCCTCCGGAGTTTGCAGCCCGTGCCTTGCGTCGGCCGCGCGAATTGCAAACAGGTTCAACCGGGCTCGAGCCGAAGCTTGTCGTGTGACACCCGTGAACCACAGTACAAGGGTGCAGCTGTAAGTCTAAACAGAGGCAGAGCTTGATTGCAACTCACTTGTTGCATCTTCTTCTAGTACGACGCAGCACCGGAAGCGTTTCAGGAGTAGCAGATTTCAGCCGCACACACAGCGAATCACACTCAGAGGCCACCAGGATCACAACTGCAAGTTCGGGGGGTCGTAGACTGACCGAAGGTGCTGCGATGGCAGCGCTGGCCTGCCGCAGAAGCAGAGAGAGTCTTGGTTCCGGAAGTTGTCAAGTTGGAAGACAGACCTCGGCATAACCACTACCAGTCGTTGCTCTACCAGACCTGTGATTCAAGGACATGCTTGGCGGCGAGGGACGGAACTTGGGACACGTAGCATCCCTTCTGCGTTCAAGCAGGCGGGTGTTTCTGCTTCTGCCGGGTTTTCGGTGGTGACTTCGAGTCCAATTCGTTTGGGAATAACTACGGTCTTGCACAGTTCTACTTGCTGTTCTGAGTAGCCCCAAACCTTCAAGTACGACGTTAGAGCCCTTAACCCAAACTAGCGCCTTCCCTTCCAGCCTCCTCGACAAAAGAGCCCTCTTGCGCCGACCAGCTGTTGCACTCCGTGGCCACAAAACAAACCTCTGAGGTTCACTGAGAGATGTTTCGGATTTAGGGTTTGGGATTGAGGGTTTAGGGCTTCGGGTTCAGGATTTCGGGTAAACGGCCAGGACTTCTGGGCTTGGGGCCCACTTGGGGCTCTGAGTTCTGGATATCTCCTCGACAAAAGAGCCCTCTTGCGCTGACCAGCTGTGGCACTCCGGGGCCACAAGACAAACCTCTGAGCTGCACTGAGAAATGGTTCGGATCTAGGGTTTGGGATTGAGGGTCTAGGATTTAGGGTTTTCCACCAGGGCTCAAGGCCTTGGATGTCTCCTCCACAGCAGAGCCCTCTTGCGCCGACCAGCTGTTGCACTCCGTGGCCGCAATACAAACTTCCGAGTTGCAATGAGAGGGATTGAGGGTTTAGGGCTTCGGGTTTAGGATTTCGGGTTTACGCCCAGGAATTCAAGGCTTCGGCCGACCAGCTGTTGCACTCCGTGGCCACAATACAAACCACTGAGCTGCGCTGAGAAATCTTCCGAAAGATTTAGGGTTTAGGATTGAGGGTTTAGGATTCGGGCTTTTCCGGACACGTAGCATCCCTTCTGCTTGAACGGTAGCTATACTTGCGGCTATGAGTACGACGTTAGAGCCCTTAACCCAAACTAGCGCCTTCCCTTCCAGCCTCCTCGACAAACGAGCCCCTCTTGCGCCGACCAGTTGTTGCACTCCGTGGCCACAACACAAACCTCTGAGGTTCACTGAGAGATGTTCGGATTTAGGGTTTGGGACTGAGGGTTTATGGCTTCGGGTTTACAATTTCGGGTTGGGGGCTCTCAGTTCTGGATATCTCCTCGACAAAAGAGCCCTCTTACGCCGACCAGCTGCCGCACTCCGTGGCCACAATACAAACCTCTGAGCTACACTGAGGGTTTAGGATTGAGGGTTTAGGATTAGGGTTTTCCACCAGGGCTTACGTGCTGAATACCTCCTCGACAAAAGAGCCCTCTTGCGCCAACCAGCTGTTGCACTCCGTGGCCACAATACAAACTTCTGAGGATCTGGGGTTTAAGATGAGGGTTTTGGAGGTAGGGCTCACGGCCAGGCTTACGGGCTTGGGGCTGAGTTTTGGAAAAATGTTGACAGCAACCGGCCGCGGAGACGCGCAGGCGGTGCGAAAAAGAATCCCTATAAGCCTCCTGACACCCTTCTCTGAGTCTCCTAAAACCCTTACAACCCCAAACCCCTTACCCTTAAACCCTTAACCCTCCCCCCCCCTCCCAAGAGAACCCTAGGCCCTAAGCCCTAAACAAGTCAGGGCAGAATCTCAAGTTGCCCAGCTCGCGCCAGATCAGCCAGTACCTTGTTCCATTCTTGAGTGTCTGGGGTTCAGGGGAATAGGATTTAGGACATAAGGTGAAGGGTGTGGGTCGTGTTAGGGCCCTAGGGCTTCGGAGGCGGAGGTCTTTTTTTCCGAACGTTGGCCCTGGCTGGTTGGCCTTGCTAACGTTGGCCCTGCCAGTCCTGGCTTTAAATGCTATGAAATGCAGCATTTCTGGTTGTGTGTAAGCCCAAAACGCAACACAGCATTTCTGGGTATTCTAATGCTCGGAATGCTGTAGGTTACAGCATTTGTTTTTTTTGTAGGCTCTAATTGCTGAAAAATGCAGCATTTCTGTGTTCTTGTAATATTGTAGCTGTTGTATATTCTAGTGTATTCTTGCATATTATTCAATATTCTTGAATATTGTTGAATATTCTTGAATATTCTTGAGTCTTCAAGAATGTTATTGAATATTATTGAATGTTATTGAATATCATTGAATATTCTTGAATATTATTCATCATGTTGAATATTATTGAATAGTATTCAGTATTAGAATATTATTGAATAAAATTCAGTATTATTGTCTATTATTGTATCTTATTGTGTGCTGTTGCATATTATTGTTTCTGATGGTATCTTTTTGAACATATTTGAGTAATGCGTACTATCTAGTCTTCTATATGCTGGTCCATTATTGTTTAGTAATCTACTGCTTTACATACTGTAAACGATTGTAGAGTACTGTAATTTTTTGCATATTATTGTAGAATATTGTATACTCTGGTCTATTCTTGTTTAGTAATCTATGTTTTTGATATAAGTGTGTATAACTGTATATTATCGTATTCTATTGTCACAGATATTGCATCTTGTTATATATTCTTGTATGTTCTTGTATATAAGTGTATATTCATGTGTATTCTGGCATTCTTGAACATCAGTGCATTGTCTTATATTATCTTGCATGTTATTGCATGAATCATTGCATATTGCTGAATATTATTGGAAATTATTGTCTATTTTTTAATAATATTCTTGTATACTACTGCATATTCTTGTAATTTTTGAAAATATATTATCTATTATTATACATTACTCTATATGATTCTATAATATTGTATATTATTCCATCTTATTGCATATGATTGTGCATTATTGCATGTTTCTGTAGATTACTTCATATTATTGTACAGTATTGTATATTATTCGTATATTATTGTAGGCTATTGTATATTATGGTATATTATTGGATATTGCTATATATTTTTGTATGTTTTTGTAGATTGTTGTTTTCATTGAATTATTGTAAACTACTGGAGATTATTGTAAGTACTTCTTTTGTATGTGTTATTATATTACTGTATATTCTTGTCTCTTATTGTATTTTGGTGTATAGTTGTGTGTTTTGCGAAGACAATGCCGGGATCATGGGTTTGAAAGAGATTCATCTGCTTTGAAGCAAGCTTGCCCGGCTTAAAAAAAAAAAGCGGGGGGGTTGGGGGGGGCGCAGCCCCCCCCATTTGCAAACACAATGCTCGCATCATGGGTTTGGAAGGGTTTCATACACTTTGAAGCAAGCTTGCACGGCTCCAAGAGAACAATATAAATATGTACTGTGTATTATGAATTGGACTATATGACTTTATATATATACACACATACATACATACATACATACATACATACATACATACATACAGACATACATATGCTTTATTAGATGTTATCATACTGTATGATATTATACGAGATTATATGATATAAAATTGTATTATGTTATCTTATCTTATATTTTTTTATATTGCATGGAGCTATATTACATGTTCATTTATGTTTATATTTGTATTCAATTATATTATATCATCTTCCATTGTATCATATTATATTAGATTAATTAGACTATATGATATATGAATATATCATATATTAAATTATATTATCTATTAGTATGCTATTATCTTCTTTTAGTATTATTTCTTATATTAGATTATATTATATTATATTGTATTTTATTATATTATATTGTATTAAATTAGATTATATATTAGTATATATTAGTATATTAGTATATTATATATATTTCTGTATATATATATATTAGTATATATTAGTATATATTAGTATATTATATGTTATGTTATATATGAAATATATAACATAAATCAAATATTGTTATATTGCATTA